TAATGGTGGTTTTTTATTGGCAGAACTAGTGCACATTCAGTGCACTTTAAAGCCGCTGTACAATTGATGTAAAGATGTATGATTAATAAAAATATAGAAACGAGCTAAACCGCGAAATCCTCAATACATTTTATTATGCAATTTGATGAAATATATTTTAGGCACTTCATCAATTGAAATATCTCATTTTTACATTTAGAGTTGTGTACAACGGCTTCAATGTGCACTGAGTGCGCACAATGAAAATACTATAATATTCTATTAGTGTCAAGAAAAGAAAGTAACGAAAAAGTAATGACTCGTTACGTTTTGAAAAACGGTAACGATAACGAGTTACTTTTGCAAATCAATAACGAGTAACGATAACGAGTTACTTTTTAGGAAAAAGAACGGTAACGGTAACAAGTTATTTTTATAAGGTAACGTTACCAACCCTGAGAATTTGTACCTTGCTATGTTGATGACTGCGTACTCATTAACGTACTACTATTGGACTCAGTAACAAGACTTTTGGGCTCATTATGGCTTACAATAATTTCTTGTAGTCCAAAAAATGCCACAGATTCTTCAGATATAGGTATTGATATTGAAGTTTTATCTAAAAAAAAAAGTTATATACTTAATTCTTACAAATATTTCTAACTACAAATGTGTTTAGGTTAAAAGATATAAGTATAAATAAACGATATAAGATAAAAGATGTAAGTAAACTATAAATTTATTGCTTACCGATCATATCATAGACTAGAAGATTTCCTTGGGAATCATATCCCCTTGTTATCATTATTAGTGCATAATATGTGTCTTTCTTTTAATAAATTTACACGCTCCATCGCATGCCCAAGGTGTTTTTCTGTCAAAGTATTTTATTCCTACACTATACTGCACTAGAACTCTCTTTTTCGCTTTTTCCAAATATTAAAATGCTCTTGGCTTAGCGCCGAGACACTACCGTATCTCCTGGGGATCGATTATGTATCTCGAAATGAGGTGAAAATTACAAAAGTGAGCAAATTCACTAGTTATTGATCAATTAAATTATGAGTATTCTAGTGAATTTGCTACTTTTGTAATTTTCACATTATTTCGAGATACATAATCGACCCCCTTTTATAACTATCTCACTTTAAGTTTCAAAAGTATATGTATATTAGTTTAGCCATAAATAACATCCTCACAGTTTAAAACATCCCGCCATATACAAAATTACTCGGATCCACCTTGAAATTTCAAGGTGGAAAATTTTCCCCCAGAGGTACTACTCAATAGAATTTCTGAACGGTTTCACTTCTATCATCTCGGTACAACTCGAACGTTTCCGAACGGCGTGAGTTCACCTGAGTGCATCTGAGTGAAGTTTCCGAACGCAGTCTTACTAATTGCGAGTCTCATAAATTCACTTTAAAAATGAAGTTATGAACCTGTGTCGTCATGTGATAGCTTTTTACCAAATGGTTACGTTCCAAAATTGACTGTCTGTATTGAAGATCTATAGTGCGCGTAACGTAAACTGTAGCATTTTCAGCGCTGGCAGTAAATTTGAAATGGAACACAAGGTGCCTAAACGAGTAGCGACGTCATTAATCTGAGTGAGTATGAAATACTCAGCTCACTTCAGACTCAGTTTCACTTGTGTGTAAATGGAAAGCATTATTGATTGACATCCTAAATTACTGCATGCATATGCACGTATGTAACACACATGCAAACACAATCTTTATACTATACGTTACATAAATATACAGTTTCGTATATAAATACTTTTATTGAAAAAGATAGATATCTAGTAAATCATATTTACCACATATATTAATGGTCCCTGTCCATGCACCATTTAGTGTTATAATTTGACAGTGTATACTAATTAAGGATGAAATCGACAATGTCAAAATAAAAAACTTCATTTCATCAGATGGCACATATATTGAAGTAAGATATAACTTGATATCAAAAACTGCAATACAATGAAAACTTTTCGCGTACTTGTTTGTTGCTTTTCGCTTTTCGCCAAAACGTACCAATTTCCAATAAACGTAGAGATAGAAGCGACAGCAGTTATTTAAGCAGTTTTATTACTATAAATGCTTTCGACGATTATCATCTTGCTGTTAGATTAAAGCAAGGTTTATCAATCCATAACCTTGATACGAAGAAAAAGATAATACCAGATAATACACATAATACATGATGGAAAGATTACATGGTGTGCTCAGTTTGCAAGTGTCTCTCTCTAATTCTCTGCCCTCTCGCTTGTTCGTAGTCCCAGTTTAGCCAACCTTAGTTGTTTTCGTCACACGCACATCATTTAGATTTTGTCTCTTTTTATTATGTACTACCCAGGCTACCAACGTTTGTTCGCGCGCATGCTCTTACCTCCTACCTCCTACCATAGCTCCTACTCACTTTAACGCGCTTGTTGGAGTGAGTAGGAGCTATATGCCCGTATTTATTAGTGTCCCTAGAAGGTAGAGTCTGGCCACACATCGTGAATGTTTTCATTAGTCAATCCCAAAACCCCCTCACAATGGCGTAACCAATCACACAGTACAGAAATTGAGCGTATATATGTATATAGATTACAATATGCTTGAAAGTATGACGACTATGAACGCTTTGAAATATTTGTAGCCTAACCCAGACAATACACAATATTTATAAAATATTTACAAAATATTTTAAGATGTATTTTTAATATTTTATAAATACACTTTTGTGATTAACATAAATAATGCAAGATCAAGGGATGTCTTATCAATGTGAATTCCCCCGCAATCATGAATTCATGTTAATATTCTATCCATTTAATAATACAATTCCCATAAGGGGAAAAAAAACAGAAAAAAGGGGAAAAAGAAAAAAAGAAAAATAAAGATATAAAGGTATGTCGAATTGTGATGTCTGGGAATGGATTTAAAAATTAAGTAAAAATAATTATACAAAAGGATGCTTTAATAATAAAGTTTTATTTAACTACAGAGTGCATAGCCATTGTTTTACTACTATATTCTTTTTGTTTTAATTTGTCTTTTTTACAAGAGATGCGCATTCTGTAAACAATAAAACGTTTTTTAATTTTCAAAGGTAAATTGTGACATGATTTCATAGAGCATGTTATAGTTTTCATTTGGTCCATGTAAAATGTTATAAAATTGCACATATTTAGTTTTACATAAGATAAATAGTGACGTATAATAATTTCCATCCTATAAAAATATATGAACGTTTCATTGTTGATATAAAACAGTGTATTTTTACGAAAACTCCGCAACCGAACTAGATTTGCGTATTGTTGCTTCGGATCGTAACATTTTGATCCAGCAGAATTTAAACATTCTAAGCATATTGTACTATTTTTACGTATACTTGTTATAATATAGCCTGCTATGTTATATAAAAGATTTAATTCAACATTATCCAACTGAATTTTGCTTGATTTAGAATATGATTCAGGAAGGACTACATTTTTCTCTATTACTTTATCCTTTTTAGATGTTTTTAAAAAATCACCAATCATGTCTCCATCATCTTTGTCGTAATTGGACGTATGTGGCGTGTGAAGATATTTTGATATTGCTAGAAGCTTTAAATTCTACTTAAATTGCAAAGCATTTGGAATTGGGTACCTTGTTCTTATCGAAGAGAAAACATTTTCGAGACAGTCTTGCGTAAAGCGAGATGTTAAAACATAAGAATATTTTCGTTCATTTATGATATTTTGTCAATTCTATAATAGAAGTTGTAGTAAGCATAATACCTATTTGAACAGGTTTAAATGTAGGTTTGTAACTAATTTTTATTTCTCTAAATAGTTCTACAACAGATTCCAGAAATGCAATACTGTCCTCGAATTTTTTTTCGTCATTTCATTACCTATTGTTTTACCTAATGCAACTTTTGATGTTCGAGCAGTTACCAAAATAAACCATTTAGAGCAAATTTCAATAAATGTTGCTGTACTGTTCAATTCTTGCCTATTTTTTTCTTCAGCGAAGAAATACAAAGCACTACTAACATTTCGACTCAATATATTTTTTGCTTTATTTACTTTCGTTCTATTAAATGTGTGTGTGTGTGTGTGTGTGTGTGTGTGTGTGTGTGTGTGTGTGTGTGTACTGCAAGTTATATCTTTTTTTTAAATCTTAGGTGTTAGTTTAAATTGCAGATTTTCTTGGATGTCAATTAAATCATTTAAATGTTGGCACTCAGCAATAGAATAGGATAAATTGTGTGTCCGAAGGAATTTTTGTGGCAACTCAATAATTTTGTTGTTTAGTAATGCAGCTTTAAGATTTTTTAATAAATGCGGAGCATCAGCAATAAAAAACAATTTTCGACCTTCATCAACAGGATGAGCAATACTATTCCTAATTTTTGAATATTTGCTACACCCAATCCCTTCAAATGCTTTCCACATGCTGCAATTTACGGGACCCATGTCGGAAATCACGCCATGAACATATAAACCAATAGCTTCTGCTTTTTTCTATAATTTGTAGTATAATGGGTTTTAAAATAGCACCATTTAAACTGTCAGGGGTATAATGATACGCAACAGGGATTTTTCAACATGTAAAAAGACCTCCAAGCATGAAAACTAGACAATGTGTAGCTTCTTTCACTGTACCTATTAATTTGTAGTATTGGAGAAAGAAAAGGAAAAATAGAGTAAGAAAGAACTTTATAAAACAATAAAATGTAAAGATATATGTAAAATTACACACACACACGCGCACACAACAAAAAGTAATTTAAAAAATTCATATTGGGCAGTTTTTGCACTAGCATTCTCTCAAATACAGTAAATTCTAATATATGTTTCGCTATACATTTCTAGTATTTTTATTTACAATTCTAACTCAATCGATACTTTTCAACTCTACTCGAGAAAAGGATCAGAGTATGTTCAAATGTTATTTTGACCAACTGAACGATATTAAAATTATTTAAAAAATATATATGCATATACATTAGAAAATATACTACTAAGAAACTATGTCGAGATTGTGTTAATTTGTGTTGGTTTAAGTCTTTTAAAAGGAAAGCCTATATAAGTTTGAAGTATTGGAAGTGTATATCGGAATACATATCGGAATACATTTTAATGTTAACATCATACCTTCAGCATAATGTCGCGACCCGACGCGCGATATTCAATAAGCATACTGTTTTTCCGGAATAACAATATGTTCATTGAATATCGCGCGTCACATATCACGTCACGAATCGCGCCATAACGTTACCATATATGAAAACGCTACTGCAAACACTCTTTATTTATGTGTAAATCAAAGACAAAGAATGGACTGCGCAATTCGTGTGTCAAAATGGTCGATAAAAGTAAGAGAGAGGGACCGTGGAAAACATCATCACTATCTCTTTTCATTCAATGGTGTAATGGGAGAGAGAATGAGAGGGAGATTGGCCATCTTCCACGGTCCCTCTCTCTCATTGTCAACCACATTTGATATACTACTTGGATACGGATCGCGCAGTCCATTCTCCATTTTTCGTGTATACCATGTTTATCGAGCAGAGTTGACAGTCCAAAAGAACATTTCGTAGATGGATCAACCTGTTCCCCTGCAGCAATGCTCATTTCATCCATGACTAATACGCAATCTTTTTCATGGTTGTCAGTAAATTGCAAAACTTGTTGTTGTAATATATATCAAATATATCATTACACACACCGGTTTCAAATTTAATATTCTCTAATTTTCTTCTAAGCGTACGCTCTGATGACAAAGAAATGTTTTGATTCAAAAGTTCTGTGTAACTAGTACTACCACAAAACATTTTCAATCGTAAAGCTTTTATAATGGTATTATTACTCCATTTTAAACTTCCACTTCGTGGATTTTGTTCGTCCAGAGCTACAACTTGATCATCATTCAATATTTTGCGGATGTCGATATTTTTGCTTGTTTCTAATATACGTATTTTCTGTACTAATTTTTTGTTTTCATCCATAAGTTTCCTTGCGTTTCTCTTCAGTAGCGTTTTTGATTTGTCTAATTTAAAAATTATCGCATTTGCTTTCTTCAGTTTTATCTCCGTTTGTTTAGCTCTTATTTTTATCCGTTCTACTTCTTCTTTTGCCTGTTCAGACTGTAATAATGCATTTTGGAGTTTTGAATTTGCCTCTTCAAGACTTGTAACAGTAACTATTGATAATGGCTTTCCTATTTTTATATTTTGGAAACTTGTCAATGAGACAGTTGACGAATTTTCAAATATAGTAACTGATGATGCAGTATGTCCTTCATCCTATATTGTGATATATATCAAATACACATATAAGAAAAGTAACAATAATTTAGTATAGAATTAACTAATAATATGAAATTTAACTTACATCAAAAGAATGAGAGATCATTTCATTATCAGGTACTGGAGATAAAGTTGTTATATGGACTTCATCCTATATTGCAATGACAAGTATATTAGAAATAATAACAATAAAATAAAAATAATAGCACAAAAAATTATCACAAAATTAAACTTACATTGGAAGAATTAAAGATTATTTCATTGTCGTGTACTCGAGATAAAGCTGTTACAATTTGATTTTTATTTTTTTGTGGAAAAATGGTAGGTATTGCATTATATTTTAATTTCTTTTTCCCATCTATTCGTGGTTTTTCCCATATTTCAGGTGAGAAATGTACCTGTTGCACATTAATAATAATATTAATACAACTTTTAAATATGTCCACTATAAATTAAACAATACATAAAACTTACCTCGCATACAAACCAGTCTTTTGTAACATCCATATTATTTCTTTCTATATTTACAAGCCAATGTTGTTTTCTTTCAATATTTCTTGGCAGGCGATGCATCGAATGTCCCGTTTTCCACGAGTTGGAACATTTCATTACACAACAGTAAGGCATTTTATGTATTCTGTAAATAATGTTTATTGCATAATAAAATTCCTTTTATGATTAACATATTGTAAGAATGTTATTATTTGCTAGGTTAGAAAGCTACTTATGGATTTTACACTTCTAACAAATGTGAAATTGACGAGTTGCAACACGATAATAATTTAACTTACTGTGTATAAGTGTAAGCGCATTATAAGGCCTCGCTGAGAATTCACGTTCCATTACTGAAAGTGAATTCTAGAGACATCTGTAATTTAGTAGGATGACGATAGTAATACGCATATATTCGTGCTAACAGCGCTGTCCGCTCCGAAAGAAAAGTGACACATATAAAATTCGACAATGGGTTAAACATATGAGATAAAATCCAAATATCCTTCATCTTTTGTATTTTATTACGAAAATCGTTTACAATAAGTTAATCGATTGTCCTTGTGTGTTAAAAGGGTATACGTATGTGTCCATGATATCACGATATGTATGTACTTCGAGAAAGCTGTGATCAATCCCTACCACTTACTGACGCCATTTTGAGGGGTAGTGGCCAGACCATCGACATCTAGAATGGACCGCTGATGGTAATGGTGGGGGTAGAAAGACGATTAGAATGAGAGGCAGGAATAATAAGATCGTTCTTTCTTTGTTTACTGAAGCCTGATTGGTTGTTGTTAATTCAACAGTAGTGCCAATTATTAACAACAACCAATCAGGCTTCAGTAAACAGAGAAAGAACGATCTTATTATTCCTGCCTCTCACTCTAATCGTCTTTCTACCCCCACCATTGCCATCAGCGGTCCTAGATGTCGATGGGCCAGACTCTATCTTCTAGGGACACTAGTATTCATAGTCAGGCCTTATGAGGGGTCTACAATACAAGTCGTAGTAGTCGTAGGATCTTGAGTCGTAGAAAATTAACCAATCACAGTCGAATATGAGAAGAATAATCAACTGTGATTGGTCAATTTTCTACGACTTAAAACTCTACGACCGCTACGACTTCTATTGTAGACTCCGCATTATATTTAAGGCTTCTTTAAATTTATCTTCAGATACTGTACGAATTATTTCATTGGCTACTGACCATCTAAAGATAAATTTAAGGAAACCTTAAGTACAAAGTCTGACTATGAATACGGGCAAAGGTCTAACTATGAATACGGACAATAATCTTTCCATCATGCACATGATAGAGGCAATCCGGGCGATAGGACATCCCACATAGCATGAAATATTTTAAAATATTTTTATGAATCATTTTTGGAAATATTTCAATAAAATATTAAAAAAATATTTCGTAAAGATTTGTAAAACGTTTTAGAATATTCCATTGAAATATTTCACGAAAGTATTTTATAGCGATTTCAGCTGGGATGCACTGATGTGCACTGGTGCATATAAAGACCGTTGTACAATGAATAGCGATTTCGGTTGGGATGCACTAGAAATCCTCAAGCTTAAGAGATGCACGAATTGAAATCGCTACGGGATTGGTTGATGACGACGTTGCAAGAATATAGTGCAACTAATGGCGCAACCGTATTTTATTCCTACTTACATAAGATAAAACACGGTGAACATAAATCTAACTAAGTGAATATATGATATTCACTTCGCTAAATTTATGTTTGTCGCATCTTTACTTTGTGAGTATACTTACTAGAAGATGATACATATTAAAAACAAAGGAAGTAGGAAAAACATAATGTATAAAGCGCAATGTTCACACATATATGATTTTATTCAGAGAATACACTTTATGATTTTATTTAGAGAATACTTTTATTTAGAGAACACTTTATGATTTTATTTAGAGAATACTTTAGAGAATACACTTCATGATTTTATTTAGCGAATACTTGAGAATCTCTAGTTGGAGGCACAGATTTTTGCATATCGCATAACGCATAATTAAAGATATAAAAAAACGGTATTTTTTACTTCGAGGAAAAGTATCAAGTAAAAAACTAGTTTTTTTTTACTGTAAATAACGATACTTTTGACCAAATTACATAAAATTCATGAAAAAAACATATAGTTATTTCAATATAATTATTTGAACGACAGATATTTTATATTTAAAAGCTGAATAAGTGATATTATTAATACAGATAATACTTTATAAGCATAACAGATACTGTTTCGTTGCAGATTAGTTATAATTGTACTCTATATTTTAATTATTTTGTATTCTATATTTTATTTATTTTGAGACAACATCCCAATATAATATTAATTCAAGAGTAATTAGAGATTCGATGAACGTTGTCTCACAAATTTAAATTTAGAATGTGTACAACCTTATACGTATACAATCACAGTATACGACAAAAACAGTGTCAATTAATCTAATAAAGTATTATTTGTATTAATAACAGTATGGAATACTTACTTAACTTTTAAAATTGAAGCACAGTATAAAACATCATTCAAATAATAGTAAAAGGTAAGGTATATTTATAGCCATCGACATTAAATTCTGTATTAATCGTTATATTATATTTTAACTTTTTAACTATTTAAAAAATTTTTCCGTCGTTTACATCTGTACACATAATACATAAGAAACTATACCAATCAAAGTCCTTAAGGATTTTGCATGTTATCAGGGAGTCGATTGTGTAACTCGAAATGAGGTGAAAATTACAAAAGTGAGCAAATTCACTAGAATATTCATCATTTAATTGGTCAATAACTAGTGAATTTGTTCACTTTTGTAATTTTCACCTCATTTCAAGATACACAGTCAACTCCCTTGGTTCATTTTCTTCCTTTCCGTAAAATAAAAGACTCTGGATTGATTTTTTATATTTTATGCATTATGCGAAGATTTGTGTTTAAACGTGAAAAAGAGAAAAATATTCAGTTATGTCATGAAAATGTATTTAATAATATATATTATAAATTTACATGTATTGTGACGTCACGTTTTTCACCGTCCGTCACAAGGGTCATTCGACCTGGCCGAAGCTGCGCGGCAAATTTGTCCTAAGTCCTCGCGACACGGAGGGCGGGCGTGCCGACGCTTGTTGCGATTTTCAAACGAGAATTAGGAGATTTCTGTCATCGCGTTTCGCGTAACGTTACTATTTCTTTTTGTGAATTTGTTTGAAAATTTTTAGTATCGGCGGCTGCGGTAGGTAATTTAATGTGCGACACATTCCACTTCAAAGAGGCGGTCAAGAAGAGGATAGAAGACCATATATTGGAGGCCCGAGGCCACCCAGAGGAGGGGTAGCGCACAGGTGATACCGTTCTATATTATCGAGCTAACGCCCTGCGCATAACTGTTTTCCTGTAGCCGAACTCTTTACAGGCGATTATACCGCGGGAGCGACTAAGGCGGCGTGAGGGGATGGCCACCCTCTGCCATAGTACGAGCGAGAGACCCCGCTGTCGGTGCCGCAAGGAAGCCTTTGCCGAGAGAAGACATCGAATCCGGAGGTCGAGCCTGTCTATAAAGGAACCCACGGATCCGGACGACACGCCGGCAAAAGCAATCCAGAGGGGACTGTTGCGAGCAGCCGAAACAACGCCAGCATTGGGTGCATTCAGTACTACAACCGCTCAGGTGCTCACTGAGCGCTCAGTAAGCGCTTGCATCCATAAGCACGACCGCTCATTGAGCGCTCAGTGAGCTCTTGCATCTAATTGGCATATTTCGTTAGAACTAAAAATATAGACCAAACAGATTCAAGAGCTCACTGAGCGCTCAGTGAGCGGTCGTAGTACTGAATGCACCCATTGAGTCGAATCCCGCGCGCTCAAGGATCTAGGGCGCGCGACGCAATAGCAAGTCGCGAGGACTCGCGGAAGCTCGCGAGATGGCCCGCGACCAATCAGGGCCGATAAGGCTATCACGTGGGCCCACGGTCGCCTGCGCGCCCCCCAAGGGACCGATACTTGCGCTGTGAACTCAAGGCGATAAAGACGTGCGAGAGGACGCAGGACATCAGCCGAGAGAAAGCGAGAGTACCGAGAGGACTTCGTGATGAGACGAATATAACGTATTGTAAAGCCGCCGATTTCCGAATCGGAGGGATCGCACGTATCCGCGAAATTGTCGTTGGATCCCGTGAGATTGGATCCTTTCGCGAGTAACTGCGTCGCGATTGCACGCGCGTACCGCGTGATCGTGCCATCCCGTCCGATACAGTCTTGGTTTCGTTATTTCGAGCCAGTTATTTTGCACGCCCGCCGCGGTCACAGCCAGGTCATTCTGTATCGTATCGACGCGTCATAATTCTGTATCGTATCGTCGCGTCATGATTTTGCATTGTATTGTTGTGCCGTAATTTTGTATCGTACCGTTTCGTGTCGCTTACTATCGTCGTCGTAGTAAAGCCTAGACTTCAGAGGATGTTCTCGCGTGTTCACGCATTCCGAAGATTTTCGTACTGCGCCATGGATCTCCGTAACCGCGATACATGCGTCGCATAGAATTACGTTAGAATCGAGAGCTCGTCCATCAGAGAGGAGAAGCGGTTACTTAATACCGCGTGTCGAGAACGTATCGCGGAGGCCAGAGCGCTTGCATGCCGCAGAATCAATCCGTCTGCCTGTACGTCGGAAACTGTGTAATTGACTTAGAGAATATATTTGTTTATCTCATATTATTAATTCTGCCTACTTTACTGTTGTCTCGCCTTACTCGTTCTCCAAAAGATCCTCCGTTCCCGACCACGAACCACCCCCTCTGCCATTATCGTGGC